GGAGCACATTATCCGGCTCCCGTATAATTGTTTTAATATTCTTTTTTCATGTACGCGAATCACAGTGATTCGCGAAATTATTAAGTTAAAAAATGCGATTAATTACTTAAATTCTCGAGAGTAAGTGATTTTTCTTTAATTTGCCGAAAATAGTTTACGTATCAATTGACCGAAAAATGATTTAAATAATAAAATCATATAGTAATTATCAAAATTAATGATGAGATTGTATAATTTTTTTAAAGTATTTTCTTGTGATCTTTTCCGAATAATGTTTTTCTATAAATTTTTTCAACTTCAGTAAAATATGTGTAAATTCTTGGTTAACTAAAAATTTACCAAAATGAGCGTGATTAATGCTTCATTTTCTTTTACAAAAATTAAGTGTAAGTCAACAAAACAAAAATTAAATTTATAATCATTATTGAAAAATTATAGTCGTGTAGTGATGTTGTAATGAAATTTTCTTTTTTTGTCTGCGATGACTAAAAATTAAATATTTTTACCTGACTAACACTTACATGAACCCCTCCCACTCTTCTATTATGCTATTTGACTAGCAGCGAATTCAATAAATAGTAGAAAATTCTCTCTCCTTCTAAAGTTTTATTACGTTGGTTGTCACGACGGTTCTTTTTAAACATGGCACCCAACAATATTCGGTTAAGTTATATTTATAAAGTTTTGCTTGTTTAATTAGTCATTTCAGTTTGCGTCGCTTTGATTAACTTAATGAAGTAAAGTAATTTGAAGTATAGATTTTAGTAATGAAATAATAGAGAGAAAGAGGGGGGGAGAATAACAGTAATGGAATTTCGTCGAAGCGGTGGGGCCAATAACTTCTATGAATGGCTTGGAGAAGTCGGATTTAAAATTAAAATATTTTATTTTTTTAAAACCTCACAATTTATACACAGCTCGGAACAAGAGACTTGACAGTTATATTTATTATACATTAATACAAAACTAGCGATGTATTCCTCGCTCGCTAACGCTAGCTCGGTTATAGTTGTACTTATTGTTGTTTACTAATAAATATTATACTAATAAAATTTAAAATATTAATTGTTACAAATCTAATAGCATAACAGCAGATCGTTTTGAAAAATTATCAGTAATTTCAGTTGATCTCTTTTCCGGATATTGAAAAGAAACAATTTACATTCGTTTGGGCCAAGGTAAAAGTGCTGGTGGAGCTTTCACCTTCCACTATTTGAAGCAACGTGAGGAAGAGATCGCTATTAATCTTTTAAAAAGTAGAGATAACATAACTTAATTTGTTATAAAAATATAGATTAACAATCATACGATACCGTTTAGAATTTGGTTCATCTGATAACGTGGAAAAATTGAAAAGAAGAGTCGATATAATTCACGATGATTATGTGAGAGGGTGGCGTGAAACTGCACTAATCGATAGGTCAACATTTTATGATCAAAAAGAGCTTAATATGGGAATTTTCATTTGGTTTCTTTATGCAGACGGAAGTTTTTAAAAATTATTTAATTAAAAATCAAATAATATTACTGCAATTCATCTGAAAAGAACAAAAATTTGTGCTTTGCTATACACCTTCTTGGTTAGAGTCCCACATATGAAATCCCATATGTATTCCTATATGGTAAATTCTTACATGAGATCCTATGTAGGGATCCATATGAGAACATATGTGTACGTCAGCATGAAAATGGACCACTTTGTCGATTACAATAAGGATTATTTTTGTGTGAACATTAATGCAAATATCGCTCTTATTGTAAACGACAAAGTGGTCCCTTTTCATGCGGACGTAAACATATGTATATAGGAAGCTACATAAGATTCTACATGGACTTTCATATGGATTCCTACATACATGAAGGAATCCGTGTAGGTTCTTATATATATTACTACATAAGATCCTACATATGTTCTCAAATGGATTCCTACATAGGATCTCATGTAAGAATTTACCATATAGGAATACATATGGGATGTCATGTGTGGACATCACTGTTTTAGTTGTCTACATAAGATATCAAGTAGAAAATTATATGGGAAATTTCAATATAGAAGTAGATTATCATAATTCCACACTTACTCCGCACAGTGGTGCAAATCTGCAATTTTGTCAAATGCATAAAAAAGACTTTCCATTCTACACGATAATTTATTCTGTTTAGATGACCATTTTTATTATTTTATTTTTCTTTTTTTATCTAATTTTTCTTAAAACCTAAAAACAATTATTATGTACATAAAGATATTTTTAAAAATGATTATTTATATTAATGTTTATTTAAAAATAATTATAGTTATAAATTATAATAAAAGTAATAAGAAAATATAGTCAATTCACTATTTACTAATGTTTTAATCATTTAAGGACGAAATGTACAAAATTTTTACATAAAGTTTAAGGTCATTTATTATCATTTAAACATCATGTGAAAAATTAGGCAATACAAATCCCTTATGTCTGAAGAACTGCTTTATCAAATGGCGTGCTCTAAAAATAGTTATTTATGATACAAGTGCGTAAAGTGAGTGATTATACGAGTGTGACGTTTGCAGCACGAGGCGAAGGTTCGTAACCGAAAATTTTAAAAACAACAATAAATAATAAAAAAAAGCATAAAAGATTGAAAAATATTGTTTTTAAGTAAATTTTTAAAAACAGAGTAATTTTATAGGTGGGGTAAAATTCCTGAAGCAAACTAAGTGAAAAAAAGTTGATCGGATCGGGCTGTAACTTGCACATAGTTTAGCCCTAGGGGTGAGTAATTTAACCACGAAGTATTGTTAGGTTTTTTCAAAAACTGTCGAAGAGGGAGAGGACTGAATTATTTTGAAAAATTTATACATTGAATATTTGAAGACTTGTAACTTTTAAACAGGAAGAAGAAGAAAAATTTGTCCTATATGTTTTCGACAGGTTTTTTCCTGCTCTTTCGAATGGTGTAAAAAATTTAAATTTTGACCCTTTTTTTGAAAATTAAACATTTTTTCAAATTTTTTTTAAGTTCGTTTTTTTTATTTTTTTTAATAATTTTTTTTGAAAGCTAAAAATGTGTATTTTCACCACAAAAAATATTAAGATGTCCTTTTTTGTTATTTTCGAGATATTAATTAATTAATTAATGTTAATAAAAAATGAAATATTTCACAAATAAATAAAGTTATTGCAATCCAGAAGAAACCAATTGAAAGCTAACATAATTCCGCATCCAACGAGCCCTATATGGACTATTTTGGATTAGTGGATTTTTTATAAACAATTGCCATGTTAGCCAATTGTTTATTAACAAACCACTAACCCTAAGTACTTCATATAGGGCTCGTTGGATGCGGAATTATGTCAACTTTCATTTAGTAACGTCAGAATTACGATACCTTTATTCGTTTATGAAATATATAAATTTTTATTCACATTAATTAATTAATTAATATCTCGAAAATAACAAAAAAGGACATCTCAATACTTTTTGTGGTGAAAATACACATTTTTAGCTTTCAAAAAAAAATTATTAAAAAAAATAAAAAAAAACGAACTTAAAAAAAATTTGAAAAAATGTTTAATTTTCAAAAAAAGGGTCAAAATTTGAATTTTTGAAATTTTTTTGCACCATTCGAAAGAGCAGGAAAAAACCTGTCGAAAACATACAGGACAAATTTTTCTTCTTCTTCCTGTTTAAAAGTTACAAGTCTTCAAATATTCACTGTTTTTTCAAAAAAATTCAAACCTCTCCCTCTTCGACAGTTTTTGAAAAAACCTAACAATACTTCGTGGTTAAATTACTCACCCCCAAAGGCTAAACTATGTGCAAGTTACAACCCGATACGATCAACTTTTTTTCACTTAGTTCGCTACAGGAATTTTACCCCAGGTATATATCCAAAAATTCGTAAAAAATTGCTTTAAATTGCAAAGAACCTTCTTTTTTTGGTTAAAAATGCAAAATAACCCTCTTTTCGGGTTAAAATTGCAAAAACATGTTCCAAAAAAATTGCGAAGCAAGTCAACCCCTGAAACAATACTTCTTTACAGAAAGTAATATACGGATCCTTCAAGACGGCGTCGACGCTCAGCGCCAAAAATTGTTTTTTTTGTAATCAGCGACCCTAAAAACGCCCGAGTAACAAGTTTCAAACGAATACAATTAATTTTTAAACATCTGTTTGCCACATTGGATACGCCATTTTTAATTTTCGAAAATGGATTTTAAATTCGTAATTAGCGACATATATAGTATGTATATATTAACTACTAGTAGTAATTAAAAATTTAGTTTATTGAATTTTTATTTATTATTTTTGTATTTTGTAATTAAATATTCATTTGTTTATAACTTTCAAAAATTTACAACAATTAAATTTAAGTAACAATTTTTTATATTTTTCATGGTTTTTGATAATAGGTTTGTTCATTTTTAGGTTATTTTAGAATATTTCCACAAAAATATAAATAATTAATTGTCGGTCCCTTTAATTTTAAGTGTAAAAACCTCTGTAAGTGAGATTCTGTAAGCGAGAGTCATTTTTCTCGCCCGGACCTCTATAAGTGAGAGAAGTCGTTCTCGGACCTCTATAAACGAGAGAGACTTACCTAAATACATATTTCTAAAATGTTATCAAAATTTTCTTTTGGCTCGAATGATATTCGTTTATTTTTCACAAATGAAAATGAAGATAATTAGTCATTACTTTCATGACACCGTAGACTTATGGCCAGTGTATATAACGAATACAATTTTCTTTTCAGTCAATAAATGAATTTTGGAAAGTTTACTTAGTTGTATCAAGTCTCTTCTAAATTTATAATGTCTAAACGAAAAATTAACGTAATTTCTGTTAGTGATAAACTTAAAATAATAAATGAATTCGAGCGTGGGAAAACACGAAGTGAAATAATGAGTGAATTTAATTTGCCGGAATCTACTTTTTATAACATCCTAAAAAACAAAAAGTCAATAGAGATTTGTTAGAATGGATAAAAGAAATCCGCGACAAAAATATTCCCATGGATGGCCCATTATTAAAAGGAAAAGCCAATGATTTTGCGACCAAACTAGGAATAAAAGACTTCTCAGCTAGTAACGGCTGGTTTCAGGGTTTTAAAAGACGACATGATATAGTTTTTAAGAAATTATCCGGAGAAAGTAAATCTGTGGATGTAAGTGTATGCAATCAGTGGACCAAAGATCTGCCGAATCTTTTAAGGGAATATGATCCAGAAGACATTTACAATGCAGACGAGACTGGTTTATTTTTTAAGTGTCTACCAGACAAAACTTTTGCCTTTAAAGAAGAAAAATGCCACGGAGGAAAACAAAGTAAGAAACGTATTACTGTTCTTCACTGCGCAAATATGACTGGAACGGATAAATTGCCTTTACTTGTCATCGGAAAATCAAAACGACCTCGATGTTTTAAAGGTTTGTTTCTTATAAACACTACTTTAAAAACTCATTTTCATTAACTTGAAAATCAGTACATAATTTTTATTTGCAGGTGTAAAAACTCTACCTGCCGATTATGAAAACAACTCAAAGGCTTGGATTAGTGATGGACGTGAGCGAGAAATGTAGAGAATGATCAATTACGAGAAAATTTCGGTGCTTTTTTGTTTAAATTCTCATCTCATCTTGTCTCATTTGAATGAGCTTCTCGAATTTCTCAAAACTCAATAAACAAATAATTACATACTTCATTATTATTATGACAATGACAAATATTGTTGGTTAAAAATTTTGTCAGTTATAATTCAGGATAACTGTTAAATTGTTTGTAATTTTTAATATTCATACACACGACATTTTTGTACCTTTTTTAAATTCGCTGAATTTAATGTAATAAGTAACCACCAAATGTGTTACTTCTAGACCAATAATAATTTTATTTACCTTTTTATTTGTAGTTAAAAAATGAACTTAAAAAATAAAAATTTTATCTAGACATCGGTATTTCTTTATAATTATAATAAATAAAAAAATATAATAATAATATGCCTTTTTTCATTTTATAATTTGACTTTTTTTAATTCTCTATATTTTGTATACCAGTTTTTAATATATAAAAATTAATTTTTGACAATAATTGGTTAAATATTATAAATACTAAAATATTTTATTTTTATGACTATTTAAAATATATATTTGAATATTTGCTTTAATTAAAAAAATATTTATAGATAGAATTGTATAAAAATTATTGAATTTTTTATTGGAAAAATAAGTTGATTAAAATAATAATCATAAAATTTTTTATGTAACAAAATACCATAAATATTTATTTATTACATATAAATTATCATTCAGGACAATTTATCAATTTATATCACAAATAGAAAATAATAGAAAATGAAATTTTAAAAAATACGATTCCTTTATAAAATGTAAATTCATATTTCATAAACAGCAAGTAGGTACAATTGATAATCAATAATTAATATTGAAAGTTGTATTTTTATTTGTGTTAAGTCAGAAGATGTACAGAAATAATCATAGAATAAAAACAAATTTCAAATTAGAACTAATTTAAAAGTGACTCTAATAATAATATTAATCAGACAGTTACTATTGCTGTAGATACTTAAATTTGAAAGCATTCAAAAAATTTGATTATTAATTAGTCTTTAACTCCTGCTTGTATTTTTGAAGCTAAGGAACATGAAACGAGTGAGTTCAAAACATTAAGTTCTCTGATCGATTCATCGTTTAATCTGTTCCTATGTTTTCGAATTATTAGAGCACTTCTGGAAAAAACCCTTTCGGATGGGACAGATGTTGCTTGAATGGCGAGAAAGTCTCGAGCCATTCGCGAAAGATTTGGAAATAAATTTTCATTCTCCTTCCACCATTATAAGATATTCACACTTTTGTGTGCTCTGTTTTGAGAAAAATAAAGATCGATTTCATAACGCCACTCTTTATTTTGAGATACTTTTCTTCTCTGTTTTTGAACTGCTGGAATTGAATTTTCAGAATCACTGTCATAAAATGAAAGTATGTCAATATTATCTTGGTCTTTTTCTTCAAAATTTCGATTTTCATCTTGGGATTCATTTAATGCAATCTATCGATGAATTAATCGATTAGTAAAAATATATAAATTAAATAAATAAATAAATTATATAAAAATAATAATTAAATTTTATTTTACTTTTGAAAATATTAGTAAAAAGTTATTGAAAGATTAGTCAAAAAATGCAATTTTTTCAAATTAAATTTTTCGAAGTTGAAAAATAAATAAATTTTTAAATGTGAGTTAATTAGCATCCCACACGAAAAGGTTTCCCGAAAAATTGCAGAAACGACTGTTGGAAAATTTTCGGAAGCGTTCTGAAAAACTTCCGGAAGCAATTCAACATGGGATGGTAGAATAAATATTACGCATTGAATCTTTTCAATTATTTACCTGAGGAGAAGGACGGTAATAGTTGGTTTTGTAAATATTTTCAAACATAGACAACGAATAGCGAAGCATTTCTCTTCCCCAAGGTGTTTTGTTAAATTGTTCTTTTTTATGTCTGGGGTCGACCATTAAAACTACACAGTAGATCCAGTTACTGTTTTTGTAATGTTTGGTTAATTTGTCTTTGGCAGCACTAATTGCTTCGATTATTTGCCGTTCAACTGTAGTAGATGTTTCCTTTTCCAAAGATGTTATTTCACTTTCCAATTTATCAAGAAGCATATTATACGCGACGATAACATACGGTAAAGTAGTGTATTTTTCTCCGTTCAAAAGATCCGAAACAGTTTTAAAATACATCAAATATTTACAAATTTCGTGCAAAACTAACCACTCCTGCTCCGTTAAACATAAATGACTTAGAGAATCGTTGTTTCTGCAAATTAAGTGTAGAGCACTTTCCATTTTTAAAGCCGTTTGAATCATCTCGTAACTAGAATGCCATCTGGTCTTACAATCAAGATTTGGAGATAACATTTTGACATTACATGAATCGCAGCAGCTTTTTAGTTTGTTCCTCCACTGCTCTGATTTTTTTAAAATACTGAAAAGTTTGTGAAGTTTATTGATTGGACTTTGAGTACCGCGGTCTATCATTACAGCTTCTATTTCTAATTCTAAATTACGAAAATCATCGTTGTTAACATCATCCGACTCTTCTTCACTATAGGAACCCAAAGAAGTTTCATCTGAATCGAGATCATCATTTTCAAAATCAATTTTGAGCTGCTTGAGCATATCTTGGGCAGCTAAATTAAAAACGTGAGCCCAGCAGAGAAAACGTTGATTTTCAAAGTCAAATTCCATAAGATAGGATAATTCCTTCACGAATGTCGTATTAGATGCAGCATTGTCTGTTGTGATACCTTGCACCTTGTTCAATAGATTTGCAGCTCCAATTACTTGGTGAAAAGCAGCAGCGATATCGCGTCCTGCATGCTGTCCTTTTGTAGGAACAAAGTCAATTAGAAACGATTGTAGGCTCCAGTCATCATCGATAAAATGAATTGTGATTCCATGATATGAACGTCCAGCAATTGACGTCCAACTGTCAATCGTAAACGAATACTTTGACTTATTTTCCTGTAATATGCGCATAACAGAGTCCCGCATAGATGTAAATCGAGTATTTACTAAATTTTTTAGTGCTTTTCGCTTTGGAACTTTAGCTGATGGGTTCAAAAAATGAAAATAATTTTGTGTTTCCTCATCATCATAAAAACTGTATGGCAGATATTTCCTTACTACAAAATCCACTGTCATTTTCTCAAAACGTTCTTGTGAAAATGCCTATTTAAAAAATTTTGTTAAATTTATTTATTTATTATAAACAAAATAAGAAACTAACTCGTTTCATTAAGTAAAATATTATTTTTAAATTTACTAAGATTTTCATACACCTTTTATAACAATCAAGTAATTTTTACTTGGTATAACTTTTTTTATTTAAATTGTTATGAGGTAGAGATTTAATTCTTAACAAAATGATTTTGAATATTAGTGTTAATAAAAACAATTTAAGAGGATGAGCCAGTAAAATTTAAATTTTAAATGTATGTTGTTAAAATGAAATAATTTTCTAAAATTATTCATTATTATTAAATTTAAAACAATTATTTTTGATATTTAAACAATTTTATTTTTTGAAAAAATTTGAATTCTTTAAATTTATAAGATTAATTGTTCCGATTCATAAAAGCATATAAAAAATTGACAAAGGAAAATTAAAATTGTGGAAGAAAAAAGTTTTTGAAGATTCATCAGTAAAATTGGAACTAATTTTATACTTATTTAAGAGTGAAAATTTTTTACATTGTTTCAGCATTTGAAATCATATTTTACTAAGAAGAATTTAAAATATAATTTTTGACTATTTGAAATTTTTTAATTTTTTAGAAATTTTATTTTTTGAAAAAATTGAAATTTTTCAAAATACGTAGGATTTTTTGTTTAAAATTAAAAAAGAAGGTATAAAAAATTATCAATGAAAAATAATAGAAATTATTTATAAAATGAGAGAAGTTCAAATTTTTAATTTTTTGAGAATTTACAATTTGAAATTTTACTGGTCCTTCTCCTTAAAAATTAAATTAATAGATTAAATTTCAAATTTATACTTCATTTCGTTCAATAGAATTAGATTCCCAAATTTGCGAATATTCCGTTTCGTGAAATTTTTCTAGATGTCGCTTAACGCCACTGGTATTACCACCAGTCATTTTAATTTGTTCTTCTGTACCGTTTTTCGCAAAACATAACTTGCAAAATGCAACTTTTGACTTATTATCTTCATATTTAAAATCAAAGTATTCTTTTAAAGGTTTTCCTCCTTTCTTGCGCTTTGTCATTGCCTGACGGACACTATAATTACAATTTTATTTATAAAAACTTAAAAAATAATTGTATAGGTAAATAAAATATTTATTTTATCAATATTTTATAATATTTAATGACGGTAAAAGTTCGATTTGCTTTCAAATTAGTTTCACATGGAATTCTAAATTTTTTTTATTTATTATTAAATTATTATTGTTATTATGCACCTATTTCTAAATCAAAATTTTTTAACATTACATTAAATAAAGAAACTTTGTAGTTTAGGTTAAAATTTTTTATAACTGTATATTATTTTTAATAATATTTATCATATTTATAATAAGAAAAAACGAACTTCGAAATAGATCCAGTTCCAGATCCTGATGGTTGGACATTTTCATCTGGTTCTATTCGTCTTTTCATAGCATTCCTGTTATTTGAATTGTTTGGTTGGTCTAGTGACATTTTGCGTACGAGTAATGATGAGAAATGAGAAAAGATGAGATGATCAAAACAAAAATTAACTGAGCTTCTCGAAAATGAGACAACTTCATGATTAAATGAGAATGAGAAAGACAAATGAGTTTCTTGTATCGTCATCCATCACTAGCTTGGATGACAAGAGAAATATTTAAAAATGAAGACCAAAAAAAGAAAAATTGTTCTGGTAATTGACAATTGTACTGCTCATACGGATTTACCTACGCTCGAAAACGTGAACGTAATTTTTTTACCTGCCAATACTACCAGCCATTTGCAGCCATTGGATCAGGGAGTAATTCATTCTTTCAAGAGATATTATCGCAAAGAAGTAGTGAAACATGTTTTGACATGTTTACAAAAAAATACTAAGCCTGAAATAAACGTACTTCTGGCTATAAAATTCGCCAGCAAAGCATGGTACGCAATAAGTGACATTACTATCAAGAATTGCTTTAAGAAAGCCGGATTTTGTACTGACGCAGGAAACTCTGCAGAAGAAGACGATGTTGATGTCCCTAGCATCGAGGAGTGGAGTACACTCTTGTTTTGTGAAAATAGCGTTGAAAATCCAACTTTCGAAGATTTTGTAAGAGTAGATGACAACGTGATAGTTGCAGGAGAACTCACGGAAGATGATATAATAGCTAATTTAACCATGGCTAACAATAGTGCTGAAGAGGATGATGAAGAAAACGAAAATTTGACTGTAACAGAAAAACCCGTTCCAAATAAGCAAGAGACTTTAAAAGCGTTAGAGACTGTTCATCGTTTTTTGGAATTTTCTTCAAGTGTTGATAAATCTCTTTTCGATAAAATTTATGCGCTAGAGAAAGAAGTCGAAAATATTAATATAAAAAAACAGACGAAAATAACGGACTTATTTAATCCTTTTAAATAAATAATAATGATAATGAGTTTTAGAAGAAAATAACTAAAAATTACATACTTATGTACAATAAAACATTAATTTGAATACCATTTTTTCATTAACCTGTGTAAGTGAGAAAATTTGCTTCGAGACCTCTGTAAGTGAGAAACTGGGTAAGTGAGAAACCTCTATAAGCGAGAGAAAATTGTCGGTCCCTTGAACTCTCGCTTATCCAGTTTCGACTGTAAAACTAAAATGCGCACCGTTAAACTGCATAAGTCAAAACTGTATAAGAATTAAATTAATATTTTTTGAATTAAAATATTATTTACGACTGAACTGCACACCGTTAAACTGAATACAGAAAAATGCTTACAAATTTATTAAAGTAGATAAATTTGTAAAATTAAATTAAAAACAGTTTAACTGCATACCGTAAAACTGCATACAGCAAAAGATCCCACAAATTAAATGCAATTTAATCGTATAATTTTTTACTAAAATTTAATTAATTTACTTTGTGGAATCTTTTGCTGTATGCAGTTTTATGGTATGCAGTTTAATCGGTAATAATTTTTTAAATAAAATATTAATATTTTAATTCGTCTGCAGCTTTTTTGTAAGCAGTTTAACAGTATGCGTTTTAACCGTATACTGTTTTTAATTTAATTTTACAAATTTATCTACATTAATAAATTTGTAAGCATTTTTGCTGTATGCTGTTTAACGGTGTGCAGTTCAGTCGGAAATAATATTTTAATTTAAAAAATATTAATTTAATCCTTATGCATTTTTGCCGTATGCAGTTTAATGGTGCGAATTTTAGTTGTATTTAGTTTTTTATTTTAATTAAAAAAAAATTTTTTTTAATAACTCGTATGCACTTTTATTGTATGCAGTTTAGTGTGTGCAGTTTTCCCGTATGCAGTTCAATTGTGGGCAACTTCAACCGCCCCATTCATTCTTAGTAATTTTGTTTTTTTATAAGTTTGTTTAAATATTTAATTATTAACAAATTAAATAAAAAATCCACGAAGACAGAGTTGTTAATAATTTTATTTTGAGTAATTTAAAAAAATAAATTTGAAAATCTGTCAATAAATAAAAGCTGTAGCCTGTTTTGAATAGTAAATTGCAGATTTGCACCACTATGCGCCGCCAGATGGTGTGATTTTTTCTCTCACAGTTGAGGTCAGTCTTGAAAACTATAAAAGCTGAGATTTTAATTAAATAATTTTTATTTTTTGAAAACTTCCATCTGCATAAAGTAACCAACTGAAAATTCCCATATGAAATCCTATATTGTTTCCCTTATATAAATCCATCTGAAATCTTATGTTGATATTTCAGAATCTACATGAAATCCCATATGATTTCCCATGTCTAATTCCATGTGAAATCATATGTAAGAATCCACATGAAATCCCATATGTTTTCCTACATTAATACATTTATGTAAAATTTTATATAAGGAAATATTTAGGATTTCATATGACATTTTTTGTAAGATTTAATGTGGGTAATTATGAAAGAAACTGACATGGGAAATTCATTTAAAAAAATGTAAGAAATTACATAAGAATCTACACAAATTCCTATGTAGAAACACAAATCCAAATTCCTACATGAATTCATACTCAAAATCGTGTCCCAATTTTACATACGGTTTTTTATGAATTTCCATATGGATTCCTATAATCAACCTGGGATTTCATATGGGTTTTATAATAGGATTCCATATAGGATCCCGTGTAAGATCTTACATAGGAATTTTTAGTATGGACGATAACAACAAGCTTACTTTTCAAGAAAATATAAAAAAATTTATTTTTCGATGACTTGAATTGGAGATATCGTGTCCACCAATCACAAGTAGGGGTATTTTTAGGCGGCCATGACAGCAAGATAATCTATAATAAATGAGGAATAAAAAAATTTTTTTAATAGTTTAAAACTCCTTCTTTTAGGTATGTATAAAGTGTTTGAATTAAATAAAATAAATTTTGTAATTAAAAAAATGTTTAAGAAAAGTCACTGAGATGTGGCACTAACCCCTTAATATTTTCAAAATAGTTTTTTATTAAAAAAAGATGCGAATTTTAAATATGACTGAGGAATTCTCTTACTAGTGAAATAAACTACGTGCCTATACTTATCAAATTACGTAAATAAGTTGACTGAAAAGTTAATGAAATTCATATTGTTGTTGAAACAGACTTCGATTTTAAGTTGGTAATACTAACTAGAAATAATAAAATGCATTTTTAAAAGAGATATTTAATAAATATCACTATAAATATTAATTAAATTATTATTTATTATTATTATTATTATTATTATTATATTATTATAATAATTATTTATTATTTATTTATTATTTATTTTTCTTGTAAAAAAATGAGTAGTATATAATAAAAAATGTTAAATTTTGAAAGTAATTTCCTTCCAATTGGTCAGATGTATTTTTATCAGTCTTACTGGTTTATAATGAACTTTTTTAAATAAAAATTTATTTACAAACTTATTTAAATAGAAATCGATCTTGACCTTTATTAACGTCGAAAGTGTTCATTATTATTATTATTATTATTATTATTATTATTATTATTATACTCACATAAAACTTGCAAACATTTTGTGAAATTTTTTTATTCTTTAAATATAAATTGCCACGGAGTTGGTGTTAAATATTGAGGAAAATAGAGAAATACATGTCCATATCTATATTATTTAACCTATTTTCATGAAATTAATGAAAACAGGAACGAAATTCAAGTTTTATGAGAGTAATATAATAATAATAATAATAATAATGAGAATTTTGAACTTTACTAAAGTTCAATTTTGATTTATTTAAAAAAAATTTTTGAATAATTTTTTAAATAAATTTTAATTCATAAAAAGTTAATTATAATCCAGTGAAGACTGATAAAAATGTATCTGACCAGTTGGGAGGAAATTACTCTCAAAATTTAACATTTTTAAATAATACATTTTTTTACAAGAAAAATAGCAGCATTAATATAAATATCGCTTTTAAAAAATGCATTTAATTTATTTCTAGTTAGTTTTACTAATTTAAAATCGAATCAAAAAAAAACTTCGTCAAAATGGTATGTTTTATATGGCTTTCACGAGTTAGTATGTTTTAAAACGATTTTCTGAAATGGTATGTTTTTCCACTAAGACGACGGAATATTGACATTGAAAACGAATTACTTAGAAATTACTACTAGGAACGAATTGAATGTCATTCAATAATAAAGAATAGTAGAAATAATCCCTGTTCGAAAGTAATAAAAGAAGTTTTAAATATATTTAAGTTATCAAACATTGACCGATATTTAGCTGTAAAATTACGTACAAAAGTTTTTAATCTGATATGTGACTTTCGACCAATGTTAAGCATAATATCTATAGCATATACGAAGTTTATATTTTGGGAGTTCCCACGCAAATCACACGGCACCAATGAATTTCTAAAGTTAACCGAATTATACATAAGTTTTTTTTAAACTTTATGAGTAATTGTAATTATTCTTTAACAGAACAACTAAATAAAATCTAACATAAACTTATATAATCCTATAAATATTTTAATTCTGCAATTGAAAAAAATTGAATTTTTCTATTTGTAAGAAGTGTTAAACTATAGTCTTATTAGATACATGATATGCAAATCATTATTAAGTGATTTCAACAAATAAATATAAACTCTTAGGGAGTCAAAATTTTAAGCTTTTAATATACATGTTGGGAAAAGGGGGCAAGATGGGATAGCGTGCAAGACGGGATATCTGTCTTTATTCACAAACTAATTGACCAATTTTACTGTTAGAAATAGGACTCTGACTATATACTAAAAAGATTGAAATAATATATTTCGAGATTGAAGTATATAAATTCAATCTTTCTAGTGTAAAGCTGAAGTCCGATTTTTAACAGTGTATGGCTATATTGCGCATAATATCAAACTAATATGCCAGTTTTCAGTTACTGAAAACATTGAACAGTTGTCGTCAGAGGAAGTCTTACACAACACTACTCAACCTATAAGGTACTGCCAACTGGGGACTCAGGTTAAAATTACTTGACACAATGTAAACTTATCACAACCTTGCAGAGTAAGCTTACTATAACCCATCTGTACAAAAGCTTGCAACAAACTAGTCGTGCAAACATAATGCAAGTTTGGTGCAAATAACAATAAGTCCGATCACAACAGGTTTGTATGGTAAAGTCGCAAGCTTGCGGAAGCTCCTACGGCTGCGCAATAAATTTTTTTTAACCTCTAAAGAAGATTTACTTCTAGGTATACTTAGAAATATATAGTATCTAAATTTTTTTTAAATATTATGCAAGGTTGCAGCAAGCTTTTTGCAAGTTTGCGGCAATACGGTGCGCCTGAATTGGATTTGAATCAAAAGTCTTTGCACAGGAAAATTTCTTCTTGATTTTGAATCAGTACACTGAGAAAAAAATGCTATTGAATCAATGAAATATTAGTTTGTCGCATCAAACGGCATATTCAATATCGTTCGAAGACATTCGCTATTAATTCAATAGCATATGCTATAAATTCTTACGCCATAGATTTAATAGCATGCACTCTTGTTAACATAGCATATTTTGTGTGTTTGATTTGAAGAATATTTGAAGTGAAGATGCCATGCTATTCAATTCAAAGTATACACAATAAATGCACTGAGAAAAATAATTTCGTAATAATAAGAAAATAATTTAGTTGAGCTTTTTTAGTTGGCGTTACTAAAATATGGTTGTCACAACAGAATAGAAAGTGGCAATAAATCGGGAAGTTTAGTTGGCTCTACCAAAAAATATATTTGAAGCTTTCATGTTTACGAACTAAATAGTTTGGTTCCCAGTACTAAATAGCTGACATGCTGTATTGCGCACGCGCTCTTCTCGTAAATATGGCGTCGCTTCCCATTCACGGGATGTTAACATTAACCATATGTCGTTCGCGTCGTGAAGTTTCAGTGTTGAAGTTTTTATGTTTTTCAGACTTT